GAAGAAGAAGAAGAAGAAGAAGAAGAAGAAGAAGAAGAAGAAGAAGAAGAAGAAGAAGAAGAAGAAGAAGAAGAAGAAGAAGAAGAAGAAGAAGAAGAAGAAGAAGAAGAAGAAGAAGAAGAAGAATGTGAATTGTGGGATGAAGTTTATTATAATTTTTGAGATTGTATTATAATATTTATTATAAAATGGTTTGCTCGAAACATGAAAAAAATTTAATAATAAAAATTAACTTAAACACTATTTAGGTTGTGTGTAGAATATATCCCTATTATTGTTTCAAATATTGTAGATCAACCTGTAAATTGGTCATGTCATGACAAGGTTTTCAAACTACTTTGATTTATGATTCTATCATGAACATTTCACAAAAATGGGCAGGCAATAAAAGTTCCTATTTGTACCTGTAAAAACTAATCATAATTTTTTTACATGGTATGTGAGTTCAATCATTGTAGACAATTGCAAAGAAGTTTTGTAAGTAAATGGGGAGATCCATATAATCAAAGAAAACCAGTTTTTTTTAAAATAAGGTATGTAATTAGGTGAAAAGCAATAATTAAATTGATTATGTTATACACTTGAATCAATTCATTACAATTTCATTCTGTTGCAGATGAATAAATGCACCTCTTCAAGGTCTACAGAATTATTAAATGAAGGAATCTGCTTCAGAATTACTAACTGCATGTCGCTGCAACATCTGTGCTACAAAGTTTGATTGTTTGAAATATTGTAATTCTAAACTAAATTTTGAAAAATAACTTTTTATATGGAGTAGTTAAACCGCAAATCTAAAAAAGGTCACCATGTTGCAGGAAATGCTAGTAATTATATTAATGTCAATATTGATATATAGATGTGTAACCTATAGATTTAGTGTTTTATATTAGTTTGATGTTAATAATATGACAATTTATAGAAATATATATGACAACGAAATGGTTTTATTTTTCCTAAATTGTTTTCCCTCGAATAATACTTTTAAACGTCAAAAAGGAAACTGACAGATTGATTTTTTTAGGTTGGTAGCAACGTAGACTTGTTCATAATTTTTATTCTCCGTTTGTGTATCTAATTAGTCAAGAGTCCCGTCTCTTATTTTATATACTCTTTGCTTGTCTTGTCAAATCAGCCTAATGTCTAGACCCAATATCTCAATCTAAAATTCTTATTAATATTAATAAATTAAGTAAACTCTGGCGCTTAACTGAAATTTATAGTAGTGTTGTGTCTATAAAATACAAAGTAGTGCACTTGCCTGGAGAAAAAATTGTTGTAGAGGTTGGCTCAAATAAACTCAAAGATGGTATTTTAATAGTAATTAAATGAACATGGATATTATTGAAGAAGCGGCGCGGCTTTAATGCCCTATATAGTACGTCATCATTTTCTATACTTTTATTGGTATTTTATTTATTAATTCTTATATATTTTGTCATCATGAACAGAATCAAGAATAATACTAGAATGCCAAGGAATTCCGGAAGTACAAATGAGACCGATGTTCACGCAGATGCGTGTAGGCTCATTGCGAACTCGAATAAACCGCCCGAACCAAAATATGAAAACTCTTGGACTGCAGGAGTTCAAATGTTTGTGTCGTTTCTGCTCGCCGGATATGGAATGGTTGCAGCCAGTTTGTTGCTTGATAAAGTACAACATTGGGATGTCTTCCAAGTAGTGTCAGAAGTGTACATTTTAGTTCCAGCACTTCTGGGATTAAAAGGAAATTTAGAAATGACTCTAGCATCAAGATTATCAACACATGCACATTTAGGACACATTGATAGCAATCTTAGTACTTTGATTGTGGGTAACATGTGTCTCATTCAGTGTCAAGCAGTTCTTGTTGGGTTTTTAGCTGCTATGGCTGCAGTGGCTATGGGTTGGATACCGGATGGCCAGTTTGATATACATCATGCCATGTTACTATGTGCTTCGAGTGTTCTAACAGCCTCATTTGCAAGTTTGGTGCTTGGTTTAATAATGATTGGTGTGATAGTGCTTTCTAAACACATGGACATAAATCCTGATAATGTGGCTACACCTATAGCAGCAAGTCTAGGTGATTTAACAACATTGGCACTCTTATCTTGGATAGCATCTTTATTACATAGGACAATTGGTTCAAGTATTATACTGCCTTCTATTATTATAATTGGTGGTTTAATTCTAGTGCCAGTTTGTGGATACATAGCATATGAAAATAAATTTACAAGGCAAGCCTTAGATGAAGGGTGGGTTCCTGTGGTGTCTGCAATGGTTATAAGTAGCGCGGGGGGATTAATATTAGATTATACTGTGTCAAATTATTCAGGAATTGCAGTATTTCAGTTGGTTATCAATGGGATAGGTGGTAACATGGTAGCAGTGCATGCATCCAGACTCTCAACATCATTGCACACTGGGCAGAAAATGGATTCAGTTTTGAGCAGCACTACAAAGCTACTTATGGTTATGGTGATCCCCAGTCAACTAATATTTATTCACACAATTGAATATTTGAAGGCTGGACACACTTCTTTAACTCCAATTTTTATTCTTATTTATATGTCTGCTGCTCTCCTGCAAGTATTTCTCTTACTAACAATAAGTCACTATATGGTAGTGGGTATGTGGAAATTGGGGATGGATCCTGATAATTCTGCTATACCATATTTAACAGCATTAGGTGATCTTTTAGGTACAGCATTATTAGGTATAGCCTTCCATGTTTTATATGCCATCGGTGATAAGGATAGTGACTTAGGTGATTAATATATGTACATATTTATATACATACATGTACTATTTAGTATTATAATGAATGCTCAAACTGTATAAAAAAGACTTGTATACTTAAACTAAACCTCTTGACGAATCTGCTTGTAATACTGTGCTGTTTGTGTTATTTTTCTAACATTTATTAAATGTCTACATATTATCCATTCATTTATTTCTGAAATGTATAAATTAATGTACCAAAATTTAGTTTAATATCTCCTTTTGGTGCTATAAAATATTAAAACATATCAATAAATATTTTTACAATACAAGTATTCATTTATTTCAGAGCAAATTTTTTTATCATCATCATCAGCTCACTATACGTCCCTACCGAGGGGCTCGGAGCCTACCCTAAGTTAAGGGTGATTAGGCCATAGTCAACCACACTGGCCAAGTGCGGGTTGCAATATTGTAATGCATTCTGTAAATTGTTTATATCTTATCATGAATACCAGATAAATTTTAAAACCTAAAATAAACAATGTTCTGCTATCACAACATATTTTGTCATTGCCAAGGATAAAAAGTATTATGTCAATCAAACCAAGATTGCTATTTTCAAAGCTATGTTTGCAGCAATATGTTGACACTGGGTTATGATGTACCTGTCATTTTCTGTTTAGTTACTTAATATTTGAATTAAAGACAGTAATTTTAATTATACTAATAAAATGTAATGATAAATCAATTAAGCATTAACATATGCTTACTCATAAATGTAGCAGTGATTCAAATTAAGCTCAGTCAGAACGCTACCATAAAAGCTAAAAAATATATGTTATCAATTAGGAATATGAAAATAAACCAAGTAAATAGTTTTTAAATGTTTATTAACTTAGTCTAGGTGTTTACTTGACTTCACGTAACCTCTTGACAGCGGAACGGCAGGATGATGCAGCTGTGGTAGAGAAGACCCATGCACCACCGGCTACTGTCCTCTTGCACCGTTTGCACGACCAGATGCCCACACAAGACCGTTTCATGGCATCCTGAAAGTGTATTAATCTATTGAGTAATTTAACTCATAGTAAAATAATTTCTTAGGCTTCAATACATAAGTCTTAGTTTTATAAACACAAGTGGCTTGATGATTTTTAACACATAGTAAAAATGACACATGACTAAATTTCTAGTCAGTGGCTTGAGATTGCGTTCCTAATTGCAATAAACAAGTAGCACAATGTGTATTAACACTAGTTGCCATTCCAGCCAAAAGAATAAAACACAAACTTTACGGTAACTTTTAAGTAATACTAAAGTTTGAGTAGTATCGCAATTGTTTATAGGAATCGTAACTTCACAAAGCACTACCTCAAACAATATGGTGTAAATGGATTCCCAGAAATACAGTGTTTGCATCTATTATTATTATTTAGTATGTGGGGTAACGAGATGAATAATGTATGCAACGTTTTATTGTGTTAGATGTTTTTAATAATAATAAACCAATGGTACTTTTAGACTGAACACCGATTTTGTGAGAAGTATACAAAAGTTATTTACCTTTCCACAGAAAGAGCAAGTGTATTTTGCGTGTTGTGTCACTTCCATCTTTTTGACCATTTTACGCAAAGAGGCTCCATAACGAGTTCCATATTTGCCGGTAATTCCAACCTTTTTCGTACGTTTGGCCTGAAAACATCACAACAAATTGGCATATCGTATCTCATCGATTTACTTTGAGAATGTTGAAATATCGTGCACAACTTTGAAAACACACAATATTCACTAAAATGTTTCTTATTTTAAATTAAAACGATAGTGGATTAATGAAATATTTTGAAATTAAAATTCTCACCATTGTAAAATAACCTTCCTAACACAACACTTGACAGAAAAAGAGAAATGACAGTAATTTGACACTGACACTTCACCAAATCAAAAACTTTTTCGACAGGTGCTCCATAGATTGTTAAGACTTTTTTTTTTAAAGTGGGACACAACTTAATTGAATTACGATGCAGTTAAATTCACTGTAAGAGGAAATCCAGAAGTTTAAAATCATAAGTTATTGTTTCAGAAGTAGGGCAAACACTTTGTCAATGATTTATAACATTTTTTTTCTTTATGTTATGGGTTTAAGTTTATATTATTTTTCCTTTTTATTAACTAGCAACATCAAAAACTGTCACGAGCACGATAATGTCATTTGTCAATTTGTCATTGACCGTTGAGTTGACGGATTCACTTCAACGACCTACAAATTTGTAAAGGTCGATCTTACGGCTTTCTATAATACCGTCCCGACTAACTGGACGGAATAGTTTAGTATATATCAATATACAAAATGCTGCGAACGATTATTGTGCGAAACCAAGTTTTGAGCGAAAGCTTGAAAAAAGCTGTTCGCGTTAATCTTACGAGATGTATGACCACGGAATTAATCAGGAGGAAAAGTTCCAATAAGTAAGTGTATTCTTTATGTTATTACATCAAATAGTGTAAATATTTTTTAATTTATTAAATCTTCAAGTGCTTATTTATAGTGTAGTTTATTAAAGTTACTCTGATTGTCGGCGGTAATTGCATAACCAAAACGTCAAATCGTGTTACCTTGATTAATGTCATCAGATGGAAACATGTGCAAAATTTACCTTGTAATTTTACGAGATAAAAGTAATTATAATAATTGTTACAGATATTTGAGTAAACATGGGTTTAGTATTAATACAGTGAGCAATACAAATCTTCAAAATATATGTTGTGTTACAAAATGTATGATTTACTTTTAGGTTCATAAACTCAGAATCGAAGAGTGGGTTATTGGCACTACAATGGAGGCCTCAAATACGCTACTACTCAGATTTGCCGAGCCACAACAAGGTAAATCTGCCTGCTCTCTCACCTACCATGGAAAGTGGATCCATTGTGAGATGGGAAAAGAAAGAAGGAGATAAGCTTGGTGAAGGTAAATTTGTTTAAATATGTTATTAGCTTTAATTACTAGTGTCAAAGCCAACCCATATGATGAAAAGAGTTATATATTAATTAAACCCAAACTAATCTTACTGCAAAGGGTCTTGATGATCACCTCAATGATAATTTTTCATCGTTATGTTATAAAAAAAATGTAAAACAAATCCTAAGATAATGGATTTTTATAGCATTTATAAATTCAATTTTTTGATTTTCAAGAAAGATATCAAATTAAAGTTACTTTCTGTTGATGAACTTGTCAATGGGGGTCTCTGTAGTAAAAAGCAAGTGATACGGTGGTAGTTTGTTTTATGTAAATAGCATAGTGAAGGTTGGCAATTTACCTTCACATTGTGTGTAGTACAGCCAATAGGCTATCTCTGTCATAGATTATAGCTATAAAGATAAAAATGAGATCAACATAGTATACATAATGTTGAATAGATATAATAACTGTTTGGAGTTCAATATGTCTTTGGATATTTAACTACAATTTCTATGAGGCTTAAGGTAGATGAATTGAGATTTTAATTCAACGATTGCTAATGTGGTCCGGAAGTCCTCTAGGGTCTATGGAAGACATGGATATGATGGTATAAAATAAAGTTGAGGGTTCAAAGTTGAAGAAGAAATGTAGGAGCAGGGATTTACTAAATGCATAAATTTTTTAAAGAGTTTGGGTAAAAAAATGGGTGGTTCTAGTTTCATCCAAACTCCTCTTTCATAATAATGAACTGAAGAATCATTAACAAATTTATTTATGCTGTATATTTCTCATGTTATTAGTCTTCTTAGTAGTGAAGGAATTTTTAGGTAACATTAATCAAACAAAAATTTAAAATACTATTTATATAGTGATAATGCAATTAACTTTCTATATTCTGCAGGTGACTTGCTCTGTGAGATTGAAACAGATAAGGCGACAATGGGTTTTGAAACACCTGAAGAAGGTTACCTAGCAAAAATTCTAATTCCCGAAGGCACAAAGGGTGTCCCTGTTGGCAAGCTACTGTGTATTATTGTGGAAAATCAAGCCGATGTTGCCGCATTCAAAGATTTCAAAGATGATTGTATGTATTTATTTCTTTTCATATGTGATTTTTTTTTTATTTGTATGGGTGTGATTTATATGAAGACTGTTAACAGTTTCGCAATGATTATGCTAGTTGTCAGGAATAATCAATGTAAACAAGATAACAAGAATTGTTATAATTTAGGCAAAGCTTTAGTTATAGTTTGAACATGTTTTAAACATGACAAATAAAAATTCATTTTAACAAATTTAGAGTTAAATTATTATTCGTTTGTATAGAAGGTAAATGGAGTGGGTAATTAACCAGCATCTTTTGTTTCTGTCATTTTTGTTTGTTGGTGGTTTTAATTTTTTGCATGAACAATTAACACAATGAATAACATATTGCAGCAACAGGAGCGCCTGCGAAACCAGCGCCCGCCAAAGGTAATTTTATATACCAACATTAAATATCTTGCATGAATAAATTAAAAACTTGTAACTTATTTGGTATTTAGTCAATCTATTTTAGATTATTTTAGTGAAATTGGCAACATCTCTAAACAAAATAGATTTTGAAACTAAATTAGTTTCTACTTACATCAATTTTTTCTTTTGTTATAACTTTTCAGCTGCGGATGCGCCTTCGCCAGCACCCGCTGCGGCTGCGCCCCCCTCCCCCGCCGCCGCGTCCCCTAGTCCCGCAGCCCCTGCAGCCCCCGCGCCTGCTGCAGCCGCCGCTGCTCCTGAAGGCAGAGTATACGCCAGTCCCATGGCCCGCAGATTGGCTGAACTCAGAAACATACGACTTGGAGGTATCACTGCCTATTCAAGAATATATTCTTGTAATATTATTAACTTACTTAGAAGTTAACGTTTCTAATGAAAAAATAACAAAATTATATAATTTATGTGTTATGTATTGTTTTCTCTATCTTGATATTTTATATTATGTAAGTATTTAGAAAATCATTTGCGACTATTAACTAATTTCTCACTCGAAAATTCAATATTAAGGTATATATAGTAGACCGTGATATGGTAAATGTGAAGGAAAGTAACAATTATAGCTTGACACCTGACATGTGCCGTTTGCACAGGCCAGGGGTCTGGATTGTACGGGTCGCTAAAGAGTGGTGACCTCGCAGGCGCCGCGCCACTCGCTGCAGCCGGCGCCGTGGCTGCCCCGGCTTTTGCCTCCGCCCCCGCCCCCACCCCGGGCGCCGCCTTCCTCGACATCCCTCTGTCGGGCATGAGGGAGACCATAGCCAAGAGACTGTCCGCCGCTAAACAAACTATACCTCATTACCAGCTCAGTGCTACAGTTAACATTGAAAAGACGCTGAAAATGAGAAAGGACATCAATGAACGATTGGCGAAGGAAGAACCAGGGCTTAAGGTGAGTTTTTAATATGCAGTGTATTTAGATTGCTTACATAATATTTGATTGTAAATAACTGTTATTTTTATTACAGATTTCAGTGAATGACTTTATCGTGAAGGCCGTAGCGTCCGCCTGCAAGCGCGTGCCCACCGCTAACTCACATTGGATGGAATCTTTCATTAGACAGTAAGTAAAATGACAATTTTGTTAAAACAATCAATATATCAAACATATGAAATTTAAGATCTAAAATTAAATCTAATATAAATGTTTTATTAACAGATTCTCCAACGTAGACGTGAGCGTAGCGGTGGCCACGCCCACCGGACTGATCACGCCCATAGTGTTCAACGCGGACTCGCGCGGTGTCATCGACATCTCAAAGACCGTGAAGGAGCTCGCGCAGAAGGCGAAGGACGGCAAGCTGCAGCCGCAGGAGTATCAGGGTGGCACTGTCACCGTCTCCAATCTTGGAATGTATGGTATGTATACACTACTTCCTGGTCTTTCTCCGACAAACAGGCATTTAAAATAGTTAAGTTTAATTCTAAGTTTGCCTCTGATAGAAGTTGCTGTTATTAAAATTATTTTTAAAATCGGTTACATTTTGAATTCTCAGGGAACAAAAAGTTACACATTTGTAATTTTCTTTACAATTATAGCTCGGAGGCCAAGGCCTACATTGGGTCGCTGCATCACCCTAGTTAGTTAATTCAACAATATAGCACTTTTATATTGTTCAATAGGTGTATTCTTGAAGTGTAAAAAACCTTTTTGTGTCATGTTTTCTGATCCTTTTTCTTTATCTGATTCGAGTATTGATTTTTGTAGGTATAACAATGTTCAACGCCATCATCAACCCGCCACAGTCTTTGATATTAGCGTGTGGAGGCTTGCAGGAACTAGTAATCCCTGATAAAAATGAACCACAAGGGTATGTATTCTATTCTTACTAACATTTTAAATATGTTACTTCAAATTAATAGAAATGGAAAATTTTTAAATCAAATGTTTTTAGATTTTATACAAAAAATTCGCTATCGCCCACGACAAATTCCGCGCGGTGCTAAAAAAAATAGTTAGCCTATGTGTTCTTCCAGTCTATGTTCTATATGTATGCCAAATTTCATCGAGATCCGTTCAGCCGTTTTGTAGATACCTTTAATCATCCATCCAAACAATCGAATTTATAATATTAATAAAATTAAAGCACTTTGTCCAATTTTAAATGGAATAAAAGGCAGTTTTAGAATGAATGTTATCTACGTTTCAGGTTCCGAGTTGCCAAATTCGTGACATTCACTGCGTCAGCTGACCATAGAGTGATAGATGGTGCGGTGGGCGCGCAATGGATGAAGGCGCTCAAAGACAATCTAGAAGATCCCGCCAACATGATTCTTTGAAAATGGCGTTAGAACATCAGCTGTTTGGATAAGCATATAGAACACGGTATATAGATTTTTAACGAAACCCCTTTACTAGTGAATTTTAACGTGCATTTTTCCAAATAAAATGTTTAGTTTTTAAATGATTGTATATATTTATAATTTTGTTTATCTGTGGCATTCATTCTTTGTTTGGTTTGACTACAAGCTTTTTAGCTCTTATTCTTATCCAATTAGCTGTATTATTTGTATAAAGTCATGTCCTTCAAAATGATGTTTTCGCCATTGTTATTTTTGACGTTTACTTTATAAAAAAAATATATATGAAAGTATTGTACGGTTATTTAATTATGGTTATTAAAAAACAGTTTTTTTTCGAAGGATGTGTAGATAGTTAATATGAGGGTGATTAATTTATCATTGTTAATTTATTAGATTTCATGCAGTGACTTAATTTCATAGTTCATTTGAACTTATAGAAATATATTAGATAGTTGAATAAATGTATGTATCTCGGTATATTAATTGTTGATTGTGATTTAGCAACGAATATCAAAATAAAGGATCAAGAGAAAATCATATTTATTTAAGCATCTATTTGCGATATCATTTTTTTTTATAAAAAACTGTTCTTTTTTTGATTTGAAAGTCTAAATCCCCATATAAATTTGGAGCGGAAATCTGTTATATTTTGCTATTTGAGATTTTAAAACGATAACCGTTAGCGTTAGATTGAAATGCTTTGAGTCTTGAGGACCTGGTTTAATCGGAGTCAAGTCCTGAGTTTCCACTGAAGGAACATGTTTTGTAAAACATTTTTTATCCGTTTTTAAACAAAATGAAAATCATACAAAATTAAATGTATTACGTATTATACCTTTTCGGTAAAGGGAACTCACGCATAGGCTCTAAAGTTTATTTGACGACGTAATTCAAATATTAACTGGAAAATCTTGTTCCATATTTTGATTTGTAATAAATTGAGATTAGAAGGTTATTTTGATGACGCCTTTGATTTTCTGAATCACTTATTTTTAATCAGTTCATTATTTATTTCCTTTAGTAATGTAGAAGTTGCGAATACGCGTCATACGGTCGATGTAAATAAAACAAAATGGCGCCCAAGCGGTGGATCATCTGATTATGTATTAATTCTGCGAAACTGTAATAAGATTAAATGGATGTTAGTAAAATAAATTTATTAATTAAAATTATGTAGTGTTTTTTTAATTTATTTTTCCGTTCCCACAACTACCTTTTGGATAGAGGTCACTTAGTGGAGCATTATCTTTTTCACATACAGTAGATTAAGTCAAGCGATTAATCAAGAAACCATTTGCCTGACAAGTTGATCACGTAAATAAAGCCTTAAAATTTTAATATTATAATTGGGGAACTCTTGATCTGATGTTCCCCAATTATAATATTAATATAACTCCGAGACAAGAGAACCGATTTGGATAAAATTTGGAACAGAAATAGATTACAGTCTTGATAAGCTCATAAGTAACTGTTTTTTTTTAATTCACCGCCGACAAAGTCGCGGTCTAAAGCAATAATAGTTCATAAGTATGATCAATAATTATATTAGGCCATGGTCGAAAACAAAGTCGCGTGCAATAAAGAAACGAAAACGTGTCATGGACGACATGTCATGTCAACCTTAAAATGTGTTTTATGTGAAATGTATCGCTAAATAATTGATAAAAACACGACCTTGAACTGTATGTCTCGCATTTTTAATATTATAAATTAAAAAATAAAGTAAACAACACTTCGTATCTTGCATAAGGTATCATTTTAACTTTAATTTTGGATGAAAAATATACTTATGTTGGTACTTTGTAAGATATGGAAAATAAGGGCGTAGCAGAAAGAATGTAAATGGTTACAAGAGAAGAGAAAGACCGAAGCAAGTATGAATGATTGAATAAAAGTAAAATAATTCATACAAGAAGTCCAATACGTAAAAGACATATTTTTAAAGTTCAACAAAATGACCGAATCGGGTGAGAATTCTGAAACTGCAACTGTGGATACTAAGAAACAAGCAAAGGAAATACTTGTGATACAAGACGAAGGTTTCTTTGTACATGATACTGGGGATACTTACAATGGTTCTTTTGAGGTGAAGAAAAAAGATAGAAGTATCAAAATGCATGGTAACGTTATTTATTTATTAGAATAAAAAAAAACATAATTGATAGCCTATGTGTTCTTTAAGACTAAGTTCTATATGTATGTCAAATTTGATTAAGATCCGTTCAGCCGTTCTAGAGATACCTTCAAACAAAAATCCATCTATCTATCCATCAAATTAAACATTCGCATTTATAATATAAGTAAGATAAGATTGTAATAATCCATGACAAAAGTTTAGTTCCTGACTTCGTGAAGGTGTAATGATACAGGATTCTTTTTCCGGACATGTTTACAATTTAATGCGCGTCTGTTCGTAGACGAACTTATGTTAGCAAAAAGATAATCGTAATCTTAAGAGATTCAAAGGTCATTGATCTTATTTCCTTAGTTTTTTATTTAATCTCATCTCGTTGTTCGTGGCTAATGTTTTTAAACTTGAAAGCCAGCCAAGCAGGACGGAATGTTTTTGTCTTTTATAAAATGGTGTTTAATGGACCGTACTGCATCTATTCCGGCGATGTCGACTGTTACGCTCTGGTTACAAGAAGCGTTGCATCCACCGGCCTCACACAAATCCGTATCCAATTTATGTCTAACAGATAAACAATAATTGAAATTGTAGAAAGTGAAATTTGAAAAGAATTTACATTTAACTAAAAAATACGTATTGACTTCCGATCCATTGAAGGTGTCCGGTCGGTAAATGATTCCTTTTTATTTCTTATCGAGAGCGAACCGAATTTCCGATATCGCATTGGCGCCCGGCGATGTGGGAAAACGTGTTAAAAGGTATCCGTGACAAAAATATTTCGTTTTAGCTGAATGAATTTATTCTATTTATTCTATTTACTTCATTTCATTTTTTTTTTCAATTTCCTCATACTATTGTTCTAGTACTTCTATAACTACCATAAGATTAATTACTATGATCTGAGATGTGATGTGAAGCAGAACAGAATCTCTGTGCTGCCGGTTGTCCGAATTACTGAACGTATGGAATAAATGTTACTGCGATTTATGTCTTGTATGATTTTGTGTTCTGCCATATACAGATTCGTTTAGTGGAGTCCCTTGTAGGTTTCAAACAATCTAAGTTATGGGACTTTTTTAATTCAATATTTAACAATTCTGAATGTTAGTTGAACTCTTAAAATGTTTTCCAGGTCCTGGAATTTATACAACCGCAGAAGGTGACGCATACGCTGGTTACTGGGAGAACGATAAGTTGGGCGTCAACGATGAGGTGATGATATCGTATCAGGACGGATCCAGGTACCAGGGTCTGCTGAAGGATTGGTGCTATACCGGCCGCGGTAGATACTACTACCCAGACGGCACTATACTGCAGTGCGAGTTTGTGGATAATTGCCCTGTTGGTAATCTGACCCTTATAGATCCCAATGGACATACTTGGCTGGGAAAAGCTGAACATGGGTACTGTTGGTTTCAACCTGTTAACCATCTATACGTAATGTTGGAAACTCGCAAACGACGATATGAAACTATGAAAGTATTGACGTGAAATATAAGAGTTATTTTTTAAAATGTTACAATAAAGTTATTTTCATTCTGATTTAGTCTGATTATTTATGTTTCAAAGATTTCATCGTTAAAGAATTTTAAAAGTACAAGCGATAACAAAAAACAATTGACCAACAATGTCGCTTTAAGGTCTTCGATTAACGACTGACTGCCGAGAAAAAAAATTAAATCAACGAAGATAATTCGTTTTGATTGTGACAATACTTACTTACAAAAGTCTTTGCCGCCTAGTTATAGCTTTGCTGTAAACAAAACTCAAGTTTATGTTAATGTTGAAAGAGAGGCATTCTCTACGTTTGATAAGGAGTTAATTTAATTTCAGAGTGGCGACCGTGACAGGAAGCAGTTAATACTCGCGGCAGTCAAAATGATTGGAATAACTAAGTAAACGGCGGCAAAACAAGCTTAAAATAATCAACATTTAAGCAACAATATCATGTAAACACAATAACAAGAGCTATGTAAACAATTCAATTGCTCACTGAGTTGAGAAAGAGGTCGCTTTAAGGTGTTAAGTACACTCGCTTACATAAGTTTAGACAGGCATTTATTTGACGCTTCAACGTTTGAAAGATTGAACCCCACTTAAACGGCAACTTGTGTTTTAGTACATTCGTGCACACATTGTTTTTGTTAAATTCCATTATTTAATCACAGTAGCTACTATTTTTAGCTACTTTCCATTGGAGTATTCCTGCTAGTGCTATACTTTGTTATTTTAAGTTATTATTGACTGTTTTCGATATAATTGGACACTTTTACACGTTTAATTACCTATACGATTTTAAAGATTTTTTTTCATAAGTTCCTCTGTTCTATTACGTAATTCGTGATTGCGCAATTAAACCATTTATACCAAATAATAAAACATCTATTACTAAACTAGGAGTAGCAATCGCCGCCTACGGTCTACATGATGACGTGTGCAGCCAAACTTGAATGCGTTTAGAGTTTTGGCCTCCACTGTACGCCCACTGGAGGTCATGGCTCCATTCGGAATTGCTTTTAACATTTGTTTTAGATGTTTCCTAAGCTCACTTGAAAAGGTGTCACGATTACTGATCCGCCCAATTTTATTTTTCAATTGTTTATGTTATTATTATTATGTTACTTTAGTTATGATGCCAAGTTTCACAGTAAACCGGGCCAGTAAAACGAGCTTTACTCGAAAACCATTTAGTTTTGACTTAACTATAAAAAATATTGTTTATGTAGCTTACTTATACTTGCAGAAAAGCAATGTGCAAATATTACTATATTTTTTTTGAGTGGTTGCGGACACGTTGGCGTATATTTTGTATTATACTAATTGTTTACTATTTTGTTACTTTAATAAGTCATGTAAATACAAGAATTGCTAACCATTATGACCTTATATAGAAACCACGATTTAGGTGTGCCCGTCTGCGTGACTGGCAGATATTTATTTTGCAATGTTATTTTCGTTACTAATTAGGACAGGTAATTAATACGTAAATTATACTATTTTGCTCATCCCTTAGCGAATTTAAATGGTCGTTTAAAGTAAAAATATAATAACATATTTTTTAAACAATCGTAAAAGTCGTTGAAAGTTAATAATTTTAAGATTATTTTACGTATTAAATATTTAGTTACAGTGATGAAAGCCACAAATTTAAAAAGGAACACAAATGTCCATACCTCAATGTAAATACTCATTGTGACTCCTCACTGACATGGATCGTAACGAAGATGAATTATATTCAATCCCAATTAAATATGTCGTTAAAAGCAGAAAACTATTACCAAAAGTGAAATTAAAGCGTATGCATTAAGAGCTTTTAATTTATAATTCAAACTGAGAGATTTTTATTTTAACATTATTCATATTTTAAAACGCGACTAAGAAAGTAACTACAAGGGTTTGTTTAACTGTTTGTTCTTCGACACTTGACTATCGTCAACAGTGAAGGGTTTATTACTCAAAGCAAATTGAACACCCATAAAACGCACGACTTCACACTGCTCGTAAATTATAAAGTATAAAGACCTTATATTACAGACGAATTGGTATGATTACTTAAATTTAATTTTAATGAAATCATGATATAACTTAATGATACTTTTATAAAAAGGAGGAAAATAACAAACGGTTCGTCTAATGTTAAATTGTGAACGCAATTATACCGAAAACTGCAATAGATAGAAGAAAGCTTGATGTATTCTTGTAGCTTCGATGTCTATCTTACATACATGCGTAATATTACAATAGCGTTCAATAACTTGGCGTAGATAAAAATAAACTGTTCCAAACAAAATTTCATAATAATGATAACCAACAAGCCTAAAGATAGTTGGAAAGTATTTTGTAACAAACGTTGATAACTTTCTCATAATTAGATCAGGCGACTTAGGCAATTAACATAATTAATTAGGCACGTAGCCATGGCTGTTGATATGGCTGAAATGAGCGTCTTATCGTGGCAGCGAGGCGCGCCGCGAAACTTTTAATTCACTTCCGTGCATGAAGGTACGCGAGACCAGAAATTAGAAGTTCGGCAGATGTCGGCGAGTCGAGACGTAGGCGCGAGCGTGCGCGCCGCGAGCGCGTTGCCCGCGCCTTACCGGCCGCCCCTTATCGCCTTATCAGCCCTTATCACACACTCATCGCGAACTGATCGCGCAATACCGCTTGATTCACACACGTGCGAATTAGTTGCCCGCGTATGATATACGATCATGTTGGTAAAATCTGTGCTGTGTATTGTTAATTTGTGTATATTTTTTGGATTTTCATCCGGCCAAGGTGAGTTTTATGAATAAGATTTTAATCAATTTTATAATTGTAAATTTTTTTAGGTGTGTCTTTGATAAGACAAAGTGATAACAATTTACATTTCATAGAACGCGCTCTAATATATGAATCACAAATTAACAGCTATAATAATCTTCAACTTAAGGTCCGACATACAATCAAACTATCGCAATAACAAACTCGGTGAATTCATCTACAAAAAATTGCATACACTTATGTCTATAACTATTAGTCAAGTTTCTTAACCCTAATATTCTTAATCAACAGACACACTACTTAATATTACCATTACGTACTATAATTACGATTTTCAAAGAGATTGCGTGTACTACATTAATACGTTATCAGACAGTAATGCATCAAAGGATACATTTAGTTTACATCTGTGTACATTAAATTGTAACATGCACCCGAAATAACCGTAGCCGTATGTATGCATCTCCGGAACCCACCTGCCACCAGTCCACTGTCGCTTTAGAAATAGAATATTATCCACAAATGGAATGACAGTTTTATTCCGAACACAGAAATCAACAAATTTATCTTCCTTCTCCGCCGGCGTTGAAAATATTTATGAGTCGCCAGCTCGTATGACACCAACTATTTAGGGAATTTAAATATACAACTTTTCTTCCAACTCGTCTTTTGTCCTTTCACTTGATTAACATAAATAATTTCGATGTTAACTAACCAATTTATTGAGAATGTCTACTATTGTAGATAGGAAAGAAGTAAATAGATAATTGATCTTGGTGCCAGGCAATGCCTCTGCTAGGAAGTCTTTTACGGTTTATGGACTACACTGAAGATCGCAGGTTCTAATCCATACATTCCTAACTGAAGTTTTAGTTGTTTAAATATTTTTTTGTATATAATATTTAATACTTACAACTATGAAGGGAAGAAATGATTTGTGGGTAACAATGCATTTAGTCACGAGAACTAAAATTATAAAAATAAATCTTACTAATATTATAAATGCGAATGTTTAGTTGGATGGATGTTTGTTTGAAGGTATCTCTGGAACAGCTTAACTGATCTTGATGAAATTTGGTATACATATAGAACATAGTCTGTAAGAACACAGAGGCTACTATATTTTTTTTGTAATTCCGCGCGGACAGAGTCGCGGGCGACAGCATGTACAGTAATAAATATAAACGAATGCGGTAATATAAAACGTCAGTCTCTGTTGTTAAAAGATTAGGCCACCGTGTTCCTATACATCTGAAAACACAGGATCGAATTCGTCGATCGAAACGCCCTATAATAACATCAGTAAAGTCTCGGTACTAAGATATAAATAGAAAGTCCATTATCGTATTAGTTTTCGATCCCTTGATCACTAATGAAGACGTTTTGTTTCAATCAACATTTCATCGCTAAAAATTGTAGCCGTGGATTTCGCTGCCACAACAAAATCTATCGTTGACAGATTTTTTTCAGAGAGCTTAATAATTCCATCTCGAAATTAAGACGACATTAATAGCAAATTATGCTTGTATGTGTGTGTGTAAATTTTATTCATAATCTGAGTGCAACATAAAATGCTAATAAGTGTAAAGTTTAGATATAAATGTCCACCATTCCATAAAGTAATTCGATACTTAATGCAGACGGCTATCCATCTGCATTTGTTAATGACGCTATAATTCATAACAGATAAAACTTCAAAAATACATTTCTGACTAACTAACAAGGCCTATACTAATCATTATTAGGCGGTGTTTCGTGTGGTTTTGAGTCTTATTGGAATATAAATGAAATGATTGTGTACCTTTGCCTCCATCTGTTCCATCCTCTAAATAATAATTGAACTTTATTTTCTAACCAGATTTACCGATCTTCTTTTGGTGCCATCTAACGAAGGTTGGCGATCATAGCGGCCGATCGTCACAGGAAATTGTGTTTCTACATTTTAAGAGCATCTTAGTGTAACTACATCGATTTCTTTGTTTTTTAATCTTTCCAAACTGGTCTGTAAGTGTGATCCGAGCGGTACAACAAACATAGATTAATCTCTTAACTGATCTCGTAATTACTGGGCGTTAGCAATCGATACTATCAATTTGTTGTATCCATTTCTCGAGCTCTGTCCGTCGCAACATCCGACACGTGCGTACCACTTTAGCGTGTTTTATATGTGGTTAATACGACCACACTCTGGTGTTTTGAACGGAAGGGATAATCCTATAAGTTAAAATTTGCATGCTAATGAACATCAAAAATTCAGTAGTTAATTTCGTACAATTTTC